GCAAATTAAGTGCAATGCAATTTGCGCCTTGTCCTAGGACTGTTGTTTTCGCGAAGGAGCTTGCTTATCTATTCGCCCTCCAAAGGAGATGAGACTCTTGAAAAGGGTTTAAGATCGCAACATGGCAAAGATGCAAAATTCACTCGGATCGCAAACGACCAGTAAACGAACTTCGTACAATTTCTGCTAGCATGTACATTGTAATCGCCATAAGTTGTAAAAAGACCTGGAAAATTCTTTGCAAACAAGTTCTCCATTAATGCGTAGACAGCTGTGCTTGATTCTTGAACCAAAGTGGTTTAAACTCACAACTTCCGATAGGATGAGGAGGATACTCAACGAAGCAACTTGAATAGTAAATATCTAAGCGGAACTCTTGTGCTAAAATATCCTGATTCTTGAATTTGTTTTTATTGTGTCCAATACGCGTTTTCGTAAAGTACGATTTGATACAGTGGTACGAAGCCCGAGTAAACGCTCTTAGAGCGTTTAGTTTATCAAAGAATAGCAAAGGTGCAGTAGATGTCTTCTGAATTCGTATACAACATCTCTGCCAACTCAACTTGTAAACAGGCTTCCGATTGTCTTATAGGGGAAGGAAATAACATGCGGGCAGAGGTACCTGAGAAAGTTCTGGAGAGGTCTGGAGAGGTAAAATCCCACCCTGCTGGGCTCACTTTGCTCGCCATTTTTTTTTTCTTTTTCACGCTTGTCCGAGCCTGATCGATTACCCAAGAGTCTACCGAGTGCAGACCAAATCTCCCAGTCTGCCGTACAGTCACTACTTCTATTTTGGCCGATAATTGGAATTTTCGGGGTAAAATGTTTGGAATATTTTCCGATGCATTTCTGCGGGTGACTCGGCAGAGTTATATTTTTAACGACGTTTTTAGGGTCGAGAAGATAAAATTGGCGACGCAGTTACTTCTTTTCACGTGATGCGTGGTTGGTGAAAAAATTGCCCGTGACGCGTGATTTGATAGAAAAATTCAGCGTGATGCATGATTGGTACCTCCCTCCCCTCCTTTGCAACCGTCTGCATGAGGTTAATTTCAAAATATCTTATTTTCTCACCTCCTTTTATTACGAAGTGCTTTACATCAGTTCCATACTTGTTGGTGGCCACACAGGTGTAGTTACCTTCCTGGTGTAATTTAATGCTTGTAATGTTTGTTGTGTTCATCACCACTGTAAAGTTCCGTAGCAATGCTATGTATATGGGAGGGGATCCTGTGGCTGAACATGGCACTTGACTACCTGGCTATACTCTCACCGCAACACCTGAAACAATCTTGGGTGGCACTAGTGAAATAATGTTTCAATTCAGTTAGCACTTAAATTTTTTTTACTAATTATTAAAATTAGATTATTAGATAATGCAATTCGAGAAAAAGAAATAGAAAAAATCCGTCTTCTCTCACAAGCTTGTCTGCTCTCGATATTCTCCAGTTCTATTAATTATTTCTTTTGTCCTCTGGCTAGACATTGTTTTGCGAAACGGTATCCTGAGACGGGTGCCTGTTACCTCCTTCCAAGTTGTCCAATAACGGGAGTATTCTTAATCAAGGGAATTATCGGTAAGGGTAACGAAACAACGATTTTGGAAAAAAGTGCACATTGTTTTCAGTTACCTTGCATTATCGACGTTTGTATCTGTGCCTCGTTCAGTGCGATATCGTAAACCTTCATTTCCGCGATTTTCCCTTTGAAATATTTATCTTTAACCCCCATTCGAACTCTCTTGACGGCGGTTGCAATCTCATAACCCGTGCCAATGTTTTGTGAGGCTCTCAAATGTCCATTGATATACAGCGAGTTATTTCCGCTGTTGTGATCGTAACTTGCTGCAACATGAACCCACTTTCCTGCCGGAAGAACCTCAGTTCTTATAGTAGGCAGTGTTTTAAAAGAACTGTGTTTGACGATTCGATTAAAGAATTTGCCGTGCTTAAACTTGATACAGACAGTGAGACCAGAAACTCCGTAGCTTAGTAGTGATCCA